AATTCATTCAGGAATGAAGCAAGTGACTGGCTTTATGAATAGGTACTTGATTCAGATTGGTTTAAAAACGCACGTTCATTCATAAATAAAACACTGCTGTGTTTGCTTGGAGATGCGCAGCGGCTCAGCTGTGACTTTGTTTGAAACTATTTTCGCTGATGAAATAGAGCAAAATCAGGCTATAGTGTTGTAGTCACAATGCAAGTCACTTAATTTCTTTTTTAATGAACTGTTGTATTAAATCAATAGCATAATATATATCATAATATTTCAAACTCCCTTAATAATCATTAAAAGCTGTCACTCACACATCACGATCTCACAAAGTTACATTATAATCGACGAAGCTCCCTACACTGCACAATGAATCTCTTATTTACACCCCGTCAACACTTTGTTTGCTATAATGAGAGGATTTGTGAGATTGCAGAACTCAGCGCACATTGTAAATAAGTTAGAAACCGTTTAAGCTCCCCTTAGCGCAAACACATATGCTGATTGGGGTCAGTCGCACTGGTGCTCCTAAATATCTTTTTTCATAGTCGCACGCAGTAGTTTTCAGTCGCAAATGCACTGCTTCTCCATAGGTTCATGCAAGGCTGCGCATCAGCTCGCGCTAAGTTTTTTTCTCGCGCTACCCCATCTCCACCCCCAATCATTTGTGCCGTTTCGTTTTGTCTTTGACAGCGCACATAGGACAATTTTTGAAATAGCACCATTCTACTAAACAATTTATTTCAAATTTAATTCAGGCACTTTAAAGGACTTATATTTGTTTTCAAGTACTTTCCAGGCCTTGAATCCATGTGTCTGATATTCAAGTACGTTCAAGAAGCGTAGGAACCCTGGTTAGAGGTGTGGCTGAATCCATATTCAGAAAGGCACAGAAAACAAAGCACGTTCTACGAAACGATTAAAGGGATATGGTTAACCGCTTGCTAGCGGTAGCCTGTTAACCTGTCACTTACCACATAAACAGAGTAAGGAGAGATGACTGACAGGATGATGGCGAATGATTTGCAGATCCTGAGCACCACTGACAAACATCTAATCTTGTCAAATGTGTGGTAAGTACTGCCGAGTGCTGCTCCGTACATGTGATCGCGAATCTCGAAAGTGAAAGTAAAAAAACAAGCGTGCGTTCATAATAATTTCAATGCCCCGCATACTAATAACGGCTCCCTGATGCCCGCAGTTTATATACAGTATAATTACTCAACGATATAATTGCGACAGAATATATTGAAGCATATTTTTCCTCCCATCTCGTATCTATTACCTTTAGGTGTTCCATTTTTTTAAATGGAAAAGTCCTAGCCTTATGAGCAGTTCATTTATGCTAATCGAGAGACTGTTATGTTAATAAGTGCCGACATTCGGTTATGTTTATTATATTAATATGTTTCAGCACGTTATGGCTTGAGTTAAGTTAGCCTATCTTCTGAATTAAACAGTTTATCATACAGATTGAAAGCCTGAATCCCGTCTCTCTCCGTTTATGGGTATGTGTGCGTGCATGGGTGCGATTTTCGAACATTATTTTTGCTTGGAATGCCCATCCCTAATAAATAAATAAATAAACAAACACAATCACTTTTTGTGCTCAGCAATAAAAGGTGGTTGATCAGCTTTCTTCGAAGGCTTGATTGTGTTTATGGGGTGCAGTCTAACAGCGTTTTTTTTTAAATGCATTATTTTCACATTTTACCTTTATTCTACACCACTGTTTGTGTTCTCCTAAAAACGGTCTGTTGAGTTTCTGGTTCTATGTAGCCCCTCCCTCAGAAATACACAAAGGGCTCAGATTGGTTAGCTGGCCCAGTGTGTTGTGATTCGCTAACCGCCTAGTGCACATTGTCCGAAAACACCTAACCCCCTTGCCATAACGGGTAGTTGCATGTGCTGAGGTGTATGGTAAACAATGGCGTCAATATTGCCTTATCAATACGTGCCTGAATCAGACCCAGAGAATATTAGTGAAGAGGATCGAGCAGAACCTGTGCAAGCACGGCTCTTACAGGACGATTCAGAATGGTATGTTTTTGTTTGTGGTTGTCTCATACTTTTTAGATGTGCTGTTTTGTAAAGTTGTAAATGCTACTGCGGTTTATGTTTGCTTTCGATATACGGTTTTATCCTGATTAAAGCTTTAGTACAGCACAATACAAGATTGTGTTGTAGCATTTTTGTAAAGTAATTGTTTAATTTGTAAAAGAAATGTTTGCTTAACACAATCTAGTGAACCGGCATTGAACTCGCGTAGACTGAGAAAGCCGTCCTCCGTAAAAAGTGCAGCACAGAGAACTATATTAGTATTATAATTTTAACCAACATAAATGAACAAACATACATTTTAGCCAACAAAGAGGACCTGCAATCGGGGTGAAAATAACAGCATTTCGACGGCATGGCAACAACACTCTACTTCAACAACTCTTCTCTAAAGCAGCCCAACATGGCCTCGCCCCCTTTGCTGTGTGTTCCAGGGGGCAGGGTTTATGTAAATGTCAAGTTTTTGGAAAAAGCATGTTGTAGTCCCTACCAGCCTTTTTTGTAGTCCTTAAACTGCGATTTCTTTAAAAGAAAATATCTCCATTTGCATTGAACTTTGAGCGTCGTAACTTTGCAGATATTGTTTACACTCTTAACAGCAACACTACCTACAAACTTAATAAAAGTCAAATAATAAATCAACCACCCCTTTAAATATAAATCCAGAGAACTGTCAAGAAACATTTTAGGGCGTCCTACTGCATGAGCACTCTTTAACTGGTCATAGGGCAAATGAACAGCTCTGCACCCACCTGGCAGATGATGTCCCTGTTGGAGAAGCGGACAATCATCCTATACTTGGGTGTGTTGTACTTGTTCTTGTCTTGAATAACCAGGCGCTTCCGGGCAAAGTAATCAGTTTTTCCCTCTGGGAAGCAAAAAGACAATGAAAATCAGGCATATCTGTGTGACTTTATATAACTGTTAATGTTTAAAGCTCTGCATTTACCTCTCCTTCTCCTGAACTTCACCTGGTACCTCTTGAAGTAGGCCTTGTTCTTCACTACTTTAACGAATCCCTAAAAGACAACACATTTTAAAAAGTCATTCACTTCAGAGATTCAACCTGCAGGCTTAAATCAACGGTCGCTGTGTAACCGTAAAGAGTTGAAAGGCCTCCCAATAAAGTGTTGAAGGCGTAGCATGCTAGCATTTATCATCATGCAAACGCTCGGTCAGGTGTTTAATACTATATTGTGCTTTTCTGAGAACGTGTCAGATTCCGAAAACCATCTACAATGTTGCAAATATTCATCACAGTGTGCATCTCGTCTCTGAAACTCATGTGGGAAGGGCTTGAAATGAGCCATAAGGCCACGCTTGAACTCTTGTCTATCGGAGAAAATCTTAAGCCATCCTTTTATTATCTGTCATCACTCAATAATGTAAAGGCATCAAACAGATAGCTAACCTTTAGGGAACATAATAATAGAAGTATCGCGGCGCTGTACTGACCATTTTGTAGACTTTTCAGTCTCCTAAGCCTGAGCCTGGAGTCAAACTAAGGAGTTTTGACTCCGCTGCACTGGAAAAGAAAGAATGATGTGCGCATGCGTAGTAAATACCATCGCCAGCGGGGCAAAACAACACTGCGAGGAGGAAAGCACAGCGACACCTGCTCTTTTGGATGTATAAGGGCAAATATGAGCTAAAATAGGTTTGTACTGTATGTGTGAGCAATGCAATATCAAAAAAGTCCAGCTTATAGCCCATCGCTTTGTTCCAAGAAACACTGGCGTTATGTCATAACATGGAGATGCGGTTTAGCTGTCTACTTTATAGCCTGCTATCTGTACTGTACTGTACTGTATTTTATGCTACTTTTTCAAATGTATATTATAAAAAAGGGGTCAAAACATAAAACATTTAAATTCAACATAAGCCAGTTCAATGCATTATTTTTTTTAAATGTATTGTTGGGAAGGAAGATTTAGATTCAATGTCATTTTGTAATAGGCCTATATTTGTTTGTTATTTGTTTTATTAGTCTTTATGTTTATTTTGTAAAAATTGTATTATTGTTCTTTTTCTCTTTTTCTGAGTATTTGCTGAAGGTAATTGAATATTTGTTTGTATTTGAATATTTGAGTATTGAATATATTTGAGTATTGAATATTTTGTAGTTTTAGAATGCTATATCTGCATAATTGGAGGTGTAAAGGTGGGATTTTTTTTTTTTACATTATCTGCAGAAGTAATGGCTGTTTTAAATAAGGTGTTCTTAAATTTGTTGGTGCTTTGCATGTGTTTTAAACCAAAGGAAGCTTGACTGACTGAAACATTGATAAATAAAAATATTTTTGTGATGATACCATTTTGAGTAGTGTGCAGGATTTCTGTATTTTTAGGTAATATTTACTGTGTGAACATTATCCACTGGGACAGCAATCAAGCTGTAATTTTGTTAAATTATGGAAAAGTCTGAAATATATATAAGTTAATTGAATTATTTACTTATTTAAAATGATTTAGAACGATTAAAGATATTATTTAAATATAATTTCCCCAACTATTATTTCCACCACAAGATGTTATTAAACACATAAACAATTTGAAATGTGGTGGAAGTGTGTTGGAACTACATAAACAATGGTCATTACCTATGAGATCTGGAGCAATTATGCTTTTGTAATCTCAGCAGAATTCTCCTTAATATTTAATATCTCCTTAAGCTTTCTTTTTGGAAATTCTGAAAAAAATGTGTTTGACGGCTTAACTTTTATAGACACACCTTCAAAAGAGAAGACATTAACCTCATTACATGGAGAAAGTAATTCTCTTTTCTGTGTCCTAAAATAGGTTCCACGTAAAGTGATTCTAATAGGCTGGCTTGCTGCGTCAGTGATGCATTGTTGGAGAGAGAAAGGTGTGTCCTACATCAGGAAGAAATGAGATTAACGTCAGCACAACCAAGCAAAACCAGAAAAGTTAGTTGCTGTGCGACATCTTCTGCCACCGGTGTATCCAAACTGTCTGTGTATTCACTAACTTACAAGAGAAATGTACATTTTGCAGATGACCTAGCCATCTAATGGTGAGTTTATTCAATTATCAGGCCTATTCTTTTCACAAGGGCCCTTTTTTAAGAGAATATGATAGCAAGGACAATCTCAATGTATCATGTAAATAAAAACAGTGAACGAATATGATTATAGTGATGAAATACACTGGGGATTATTCAGAAAACATTACAGCTGTGAAATATTGATTTGAAACTATGGCTTTAAATACAAAGAAATGAGGTAGAACTGCTTTGAAATCACTTATCTGTTGTTGACAGCTTATTAGTATTTAAGTTATTCTAACCGTCTTGCTTATGGACCTGTACTGTGAAGAGCAAATAGATGGGCTCATTGTTAGATCAATGACTAAAAGACAATGATTAAATAACTACATTCTGTTTATTATGTTCTCCCATATTGAGTGGTTGCTTTCTGTTTATATATTATGTTTTTATACTTTTGCACAAAGCATTCTAACAGATTCTTGATGATTTGATGCATCATGGGAGTATTTCTATTGCGTGCACCCAGTTTAATATGGTGCGGGGGTCTCCAAACTCAGTCCTGGAGGGCCGGTGTCCTGCAGAGTTTAGCTCCAACTTGCCTCAAAAAGAAAGAAACTAATATAGTTTCGTGCCCTGTGTCATTTACATTTCACCAGGTTAAAATAATATCTCAAGCTTTATGCTTGATTTATTTGTATACCGCGTGCAAGGTTTATGCGCATAGTCCAAGTCTTCTCCATTTTTAGTGTATCTGTGTTGCAGAATTACAGTGCCACATACTGGTCTGGCATGTATACTAAGGTTGTGACGGTGAGGAAATTTTCCCATGCCTAATATAACTTACATAAAGTTTAAATAGGTATACAAAACTGGAAATGAGTAAACACGTATAATATATAACCAAATAGATAAGAAACATAGAACGAAAGCTTGGACGCACGGCATACACCTTGATGTCAAATAAAATAGATACATTACACAAAGTTTAAATAAAGTAAAAATCAGCAAACACTGTGGAACCAATTAAATAAGAAACTTCCCAAAAAATCTTAGATAAACGGCAAAAGTCAACAGGCTTTTCAAAATCTAAAATACTGCCAAACAGGCACTTTTGCATTTCGTTTCGAAACGAAATCATCCGCCATCGTCTTGTCTGTCGCCTCACTCTTCTTGTCAGTCAGCTCGACTCACTCTCCTCACTGGAGACATGAAATCTGATCTGTGATGCGACTGTCGTTCGGCACACTGCATTGAGCATTCGCGTTCAGTTTTTAATGGTAGTGTCTGTTCTTTTACTGAACTAAATTATTTTTATTACTATAAAAAATCAAAACGATGGTGGGGGTCGGTGCCGCGGTGGGCAAGTGACGTTTTTGAAATTACCCCTCCACATCTTGGATATCCTTAGTGTTTACATTTTCAAGGGTGGCAAGATTTCTAGTCCGGGAAGTCCATATGGGAGAAAAAAATTTCCTCCACTTCAGATACTTTACTTTCACGTTTATCCTTTGACCCCATAATGGTCATTAGAACCACAAGTGAAACGTGAACCACTGGATTTGCAGTGATTACAGTTGATCTCCTCTGATCCACTTTAGTCGTGAGCCCATCCTTCTTATTCTGTGCACACCAAACTGCATTGCTATGTGCTGTTGTAGCACTTTACTGAAACATGCAGCTTCAGGGAGTAGACTGTAGTATGACCTGAGGTATGTTTGCCGATCATGTGATAAGATTTCCTTGATTTGTCAGGCTGATAATCTTAAATGTGATTGAAATTATATATTATAATTGCGCTTGAGATTAGTGCTGGCCGGTATGACCAAAAATTTATATCACGGTATTTTTCAAAATTAGACCGGTTTCACGGTATATGACGGTGTATTTTTTTTTTTCATGCATGACCGGGTGTTAACCATATTTTCTACTGATTGAGAGAGGAAATACTGCAGTATATTGAATTAGAATGCCCTATTTTACTGTCATGATGAGTGAATATTGTCAAAAAATACCACACTAAATAGTGACTAAACACGACCCCTTTTAATACGTTAAACAGGAGTCACTAACATTTATAATCGCGGCATCGTCTGATAAAATCAACATGAATCTACACTAAAGAGTGGCTATGCGGTTGTTTTGGCTATATTATTTTTTGTCTCATGCAGCGCACTGCCTGCATCTGAGTAACAAACTAAAAAATAAAAAAAACCGAGCATGTGATATGAACTACGTTCATATTTATAATTCCAAACAATCAGTAGGCGACAGGTGCTAGGAAACGCTGTTTTGCGGTTTTTGGCTGCGGTGTGGCCAACTGAAAGCGCTGCTTCTCTGCCGCTCACTGCACAGAACAGACGCCGAGAGAGGCGACACTTCTCCGGGAAAGTCAGACCTCGCATTCGCAAGGGACCCCTTTCAAACAGTGTCGCGTTCCGAACGTTGTTTAAGCGAAATACACCGGTATTGCGCTATTTAAAAAATTCATATCATAACAAAAATAAACACCGGCATGAACCAGTATACCGCCCAGCACTACTTGAGATTATAAGCAAAGTCTTGAGACCAAATTACTTGCCTCTGCCTTTGGAACACTTCTTGTCTGGTAGAAGAGCCGTTGCTTTGCTTGCTTTGATGTAATTTTTTCCCTAATATAACCCTGAAGCATCGGATATTGGGATCGTTCATTGTTCTTATTCACACGGTTGGTGCACTGCTCCGTCTCACTTCATACAATTTGTCACATTGAATAGAGCAAGACCTAAATAGTGCATTTCTGCAGGGGCTCTACTTCTAAATGACATCCATGTGGCTTGGCCTAAACTTGTTCTTCTCTGTCTCTTTCTCTGTCCTTCCTTTCTCACACATGTGCCTCAGACAAACATCTCGATTCCATTTGACCTGAACAAATGGAACTTGTGTTTGCTTTGCAGGCGGGCATTATTGCAGTTCCTTTTTTAAGAGTATCTTGCATCTCAGACTGCGTGACGACTGATTTCTAAACGACTGAGTCAGGCAGTAGTGCACAGACATAAGCAAACCTGCAAATTCCCTACCAGGAAAGTGCTGATTGGTGAAAGCGAGAAGAAAGATAGAATGTAGCAAAAATAAATCTGCTTAGCATAGGGTTTTTTTTTGTAGGTCTTTTGGAAATATTTCTGTCGGTCTCGGTTGGTCTAAAAGTGACTCTGCTGTGTCATGTCTTATGTTGGCAAAGACCTTTTCATTGTTCAGTATTCAGATGTATTGTTGCCGCTCTGTCATTGTCATCCCTTTTGACAAACAATGTGGAAAACTAGAACTGCAGTCTTGATTTATGCATGCTGTTGAAGATCACTAGATAAGATGCCACCTGCGAGATGGGCCTCCTGCTGCAGGCCTATACAGAGGACATCATTAAACTTGAAGGCTTAAAACATTCCATTACAATAAGGTCCCTAAAGTGTGGTTGTAAATCAGTGCTTTAGTGTTACATAATATGGGAGCAGACCATCTGGGCCATGTGAGAAGTCATCAACTATAGCCTAGTGTTCTTCTGCTGTTTATGCAAGTGCATTTTGACAGAATATTCTGGGTTAAATGGAACTTAATCAGTCTCACAGAAAATTTCGGCGAAGGAAGTCAAAAGCAGAAATGTGACTTGCTTGAATTGTTCAGTAGAAATGTTTGTTACTTCATTTGTCAAGTTATGTAATTTTTCCTTTTGAGGTGGGGTGAATGTTTTTTTATTAATTAATGTTAAATAATGCATAAATAAATACATTTTTAAAATTTGGTTGAACTTCTGATTATGTGTTACAGACATGAGACCTAATTCACACCAATGTTAATATTCAGTGTGATAACATTTTCATTTGAATCAACCGCTGTGCCTCTTAAGACTGACACAACAGTCAGTCTGTTTCCATCGCACTGCAAATATTGCTGGCTAACCAACCAATAAATAAGTTTCACATTTTTGGTCACATGTCCAGAGTTGCTTCTGTACATAAAACTAGGGATGCGCCGATCCGATATTCATATCAGGTATCGACGCCGATAGTGCCATTTTTCTCGGATCAGGTATCGATCTGTTACTTCTGAAGCCATACGATAGCTTAATGTGAGCTACATATTAATATTTAAGTCCTTACATTAAAGTTCACACAAACTCTTTTCTCCGCTGTGGCTGTCAGTCATTCGTTCAGCCTTTAAACCCTGATCGCGTTCGGTTACAGCAGTCAGCTCGGTAAAGCTCTCTCCAAGATCATTCTGTGTTCCCATTATACTTGATTTGTAAATACATGTCTATGATTTTGCAAAAAGGACTTTATCTTCTTGCCGGAGTTTAATGTTGTTTTGTTACTTGCTACCGGGTGTCTGTGAGAACAAAACACGGGCGTAGAAAAGACTATAAATTGTTTTTAACGTGTTTTTTAACTGAAATTTAAAACCGTTAAAAGAAAGGCTCAATAACTGCACAGATATAATACACTACACATCAATTTCTCTTCCCTTTGTGCTTTGCAGTTTTTAACACGAAGTGCTTACA